CCATCCCCTATCCTACGGTTTTCCATTAGGACCATCATCTATAAATGACAAGTTTCATAAGTTTATTACTCAAATTCATTAAGGCCACATGGCCCGTGAGGATATACAATATATATATATATATGGCAAGAAAGTGTACAAAAATAAATTTCAAACAAGATTTAAAGAACAATGGAGAAGGTTTACGTTGAAATGTCTTAGTCTTAAGCTATTTCCAATAATATCTAAATGTTTACAAAATTATGTATGTGGTGTATTCTATAAACTACTCTTGCTTTTCCTTGTCACAAAATAACTATGTCTGTTAAATATATGAGTCTTTACATACTAGTCATATCTTGATCTTGTCAAAACGAAACACAATAAATGTAATCATATACATGTGTACATTACTGCGTCCAATACCGCAGATTATCAATTTTTATATAGAGAAATATAATGTACGTAGTTAAGAAAGTTTCTTGCTCAGTGCTTAGTAAATATCAGTGCCACTTATTCAAGAAATAATATTTTATGTCAAAAAATGTAGATCTAACTAAAAATAGTTATTAGAATAAAGATGAAATGATATGTCTATAGTAAAATAAATCTTTAGGTGTTTCTTGTGGTTGTGAGGTTGAAATAAAGTGATCGTTTGAAAGAATATACGTAATTATATGTTTATGTATAGTGTAATAAACCCCACAAATATGTTAATGCAAATGCTATATATTGTTGTTAATATATCATAAGTGAAGACTAAATTCCATATATCTTTTAAAACAGGAAAGTAGAAATCAATGAAATATTCATTGTCGCCTAGCAAAATACATTAATAAAACATCTGAAGTCTTAGATGTTATGAAAATAAGAAACTAAGATGTCCATAGGTGGATCTGTGCAAGGGCTCCGATGGTTGTATGCAAACTCCGTTTTTTAAGCACATACAATTGATATCTACAAATGTAAACATTTCCAGATCTTATATACCAGAGCGTGCATTGCACCAAATTTTTTTTGGAAATCGATCTCGTTCCCGTCTTTCAAAAAAGAAAACAACTTTCGTGATACCAAAGGCGAACCCCTGGTATTAGTTTAAACAATCCGCCAATGGATAATTAGGTTTTTAGCAAACTTTCCCCTTCAGACGGAAAATGAAAACTGGAGGAATACGTGTAAAATAAATCTTATTTTTGTAGGAAAGTTGTGCTATTGTTTTTGTTTTAAATTAACAACAATTCGGAATTGAAAATAAACATTGATTGAATTAAAAGGTTAAAAATTACATTCTTTTTGGTAAAAGTTTGTTGAGTTGATTGTGTGCAGTGTCTTATTTATTGCTAAATTACTGCTTAAAATAAGTTTTTTTTTACAACGAATAACAAAATAAAATTATACACTGGGTTCATGTCTTATATTCGCGTAATTGCGTAAAATGTTTCCTATTTAAAGCTAGGCTTAAGTATGTACTGAATTACAATATTTGTAGTTTTAAGAAAAGTGTCTTTTAATAATTAAACGTTTTATTTTGAAAAAGAAAATCGGATTTAAAATTTTAATTATCATTTAAAATCCTCATTCTAACAATTTGGAAAGTGTTTACAAAGGCTTTATTTGGACATTTGAAATTCCAGGCTTTTTCAAATGTAAATATGCTTTTTCCGTTTGTTATTATTTTTGCTTTGTTGTCGTCGACATTTTTTTATTATTTATTACAAATATATTCATAGTTGTAAATCATGCATATTTGTGTCAAATACAGGAATTTAATTCCATTAAGGTTTACAATTATCTTAAAAATCACTTCATCAATCTAATAAGCAAGACCGCGTAAAGAACCTTATAATTATTTTACGGCAATTACAAAAACTGTTGATTTTAATATCGATACCTGAGTGCCATTGACAAAAGAAATGTAACAAAAAATAACAGCCGGTAGCTTTTTTCATGTTTGTTTTTTTACTTCTTCTCTACATTGAATTCTAAACCATTCAATATCCAGTCACTATACGGTATTTAGATGGTTGTTTTTCTATAATCACCGATTAATTATCAAATAAAAAATGTACCGCCACGGATTATGATTGGAAACCTCCCCCACAACGGCGCGAAATCATTCGTAAGTAATTTACCATTCACGTCTGCGTTCTAGAATTTAATTAACGTAATTGTTCCCGACTCTCAAGTTACGGCGTGTTTAACTCATTAAACAATAAAAGGTTAACTTGGAGTTTTACCCTATACTACACAATAAATATTAAAAAAAAGACATAATCACTTTGGCAAATATTTTTTAAAAAAAGAAAGAAAAAAGAAAAAAAGAAGACTAATTACGGTTCTATTGAATATATGGATTACTCGGAAATAAAACACTAACTGTTTATTAAAAACTGAAATGGGAACGCAAACCGATGAAGAATAAATGAATTCGAGATTAAACTGGGAGATAATGAAAGAATATCTAATTATAGCAATTCTGAAATTATAAAAACCGATATCAGTCAGTTACTCCCCATTGCTTTGCTGTGGGGTACTCGCCCGGTTCTACTTTATCTCTTTCAAAATGCAAGCGATCAATGCACTGCTGTGTCTTTGAAAGTTTTGAAATTTTGTTATAATATAGGCCTTTTTACGACGCGGTCCGTTGTTATGAAAAATCGCAAACAGGCTGTGTTTTTTATCACTTACCGCTTCTCTTGATGGCATTTTCACGGTTTCTGATCTTCTACATGGAAGGGTGGTCTTTGCAATTGATATACTCTGTAATTTTCTTTTCGACAATCGCTGTTTTCTTCTGTTTACACAACCATTGCTGATCCGATTTGTTGGTTATATGGAAATACATGTATAACTTTTGGACATTTTAGTATAAATATACTATACCTTAAAATATGGTTTACTCTGAAATTGAGTTGTATAAGAAATGTTTAATTAAATTGCTAAGATTCAATCAGCAGTTTATTGCAATGCTGATCAACAAATTGTAAGAAATTGTTTAGGGAAACATTGCTAGCACCCGTGGCCGAGTGGTTAACGACTTCAAACCATGCACTTACCTCTCACCGCTGTAGGTTCGAGCCGCTCAAGCGTTATCAGATTCTACATGCGAGAAACTTCCCAAGTAGCGTACAGAACGTCGGTGGTGCCCATTTGTGCTTGAAATAATTCACTTCCTCCACAAGTAAAAGCTGGAAAGTCGCCATATGACCTATATTGTGTTGTGCAACGTAAAACCTAAAAAATAACTTTGCCACCGGTATATGGCCAGGTATGCCTACATTTCCATGCAGTCTGAGCAGACCCTATATTGCAGACTGGCTGAGTTAAAATTTTCATTTTGATTTCCTTAACATTGATTAACAGTTCCGAAAATGGAAACTGAACATTTTAGAAAATAATCAGGCTAAGCGCTAAGAAGTTTGCTCATATATTTTTATAAGTGATTACATTTATTTAATTTATTTCTTATGTTAAGAAAATATGTATTGATTAAAACTTTTGAAACCTTAAAAAAAAGGAGAAAAAAAGCAACGCTGTGCCAGGACGAATTCAATGAATTTAGAATGACTTTATTAAAATCAATAGTTTTCTTCCAGTCGTAGTAGCAAAAACATCAGCGAACAATAGATACATTTTAACAAATCGATACTTAAAGAACAACTTACAGGGATTTTCAAACGTGCTACAGATTTCTATAGATGTAGAACGATAATACGGCAACTAATGATAAAATACCAAATCGGAAAATGATATGAATATAACCGAGTATTCGAGAACTCTCTTTCCTTAGCTTATATAAAGTCATTAAATATCAAATAAATAAATAAATAAATGTGCTCTAGTCGATTATTTTTGCAACATACATTTCATGCTTGTATAGCAAGTCATTCGTTTTGGAAACGCAGTTTTATCTTTAAAGATATTAATGAAAAATAATATAAAAAAAAGAAAATTGAAAACTGCTTTAATCTTTACCAACATTTACAAGTACATGCATCATGGACATGTAATGCTTTTAATTTGGAATTGTCACTGATATATGAGAAACTTTGCTAAATAAATGCACCAAATTTTAAATCAACTAAACATTATAAGGCTTTCTCCCAACCAAACGTTTTTTTTTTCAAATTTACCTGTTGAATTGGCATCATATCATGCTGGCGTATGTAAACACTTTCTTATCATATCAAACAATAGTGTTGTCTTATTAAAATGTGGTGTTGCTTTGTCAAAACGTTATCTTGTTATGTCAAACAGTTGTGGTGTTAGTGACAATCTTAACCTTTAACCGGTTTAATTCTTTAAATTGACTTGACTTCTCATAAGCCTATTTTGGAAATGGGACTGGGTTTCAAAAAATAATATTAAAGCCACCAGTATAGAGGCAGAGGTATGCGTATTGTCAGTGTCTGAAAGGGCGGATGGACGGACCCTTATTAAGCCTAGAATACATATAGTAAAGAGCCATGTCGGACTGCGCGATTGGATGTGCAAGCTGGACCGGCTCAATGATGGTGGCTAAAGACTAAAACTTAAGCTTCCTTAAAAATAAGTCGATGCCAAATTATTCATTTGGATCTGTAAATATTCTTTGCTTGATTATATAAAAATAACTTTTATGATTATTTTTTAACAATGATTGTTTGATTAAGTATAAGATTTCATTCCGTTTGATTGATTTTTAAAACATAAAAATGTAAGTTAAGAGTTAAAATTTCTCTTTTCTTTTAAAGTATGAAGATGTAGTTGTTCTCAGCACAGACACTATGCTATGCTTTTTCTAAAAATAAACAGCTTTAAATCTATTATTGTTTTTGGATATTTTTCAAGTGGCTGCTTCAAAAAATGGAACTTACAGATTTCTATTTTTAAATAATGTGATTAATTTTTTTTTCATTTTTAGTTTTTATTCTAAAATTTCATCATTCCAGTTATTTTCTTCAAATTAGTTTTTTATTTGAAGATTATTTAAACAATGTTTAAGTTCTGACTGATCATACGGACTTTACTGCTATACACATGCTACAAACTAAACAGCTTTCCTTGTTTTTTTTATTTCAGAATGAGAAAGTAGATACAACTAAAGACGCCGAAGAGTTATTATTACTGCGTATGCGTAAACGGTCTAAAAGACGCCGCGAAAATAGAGGAACTTTAATAGACTTGGTAACAGAAGTAAAAAACATGGCGGAGGTTTCTAAAATGAAGCTTACCGAAGAAGCTGTCAATTCCGAAAATCCGGATATAATGCTCAACACAAAAGATACACCGGAAAGTACATTGACAGCAGATGATGCATCGAAACCAGGTTTAAATCAAATGGAAGAACCAAAGTCATCTAAAGTTACCAAGAAACTTGAAACGAACAAAAATGAATCTAAAATTAAAAATGACTCTGATAATACAAAAGATATAAAGCCAGACGTTTCTATGAATAAAGGAAAAGGATTAAAAAAAGATAATAAAAAGGTAAAAAAATCCACTGCAAATCAAGAATTATCTGCTGATAAAACTACCAAAACCACCGGTAAAGATAATATTGCAAAGTTAAATCACACGAAACGACAAAATAAAAAGAAGGGCGAAAATGATAAAAGTGAAATAACACGAGAAGTGTCCATTAATCCTGGTGTAGATAAAGATAATGAAACATCGGCTATATCAGGATATGAACCAAATACAGAAAAAGAAGTGAGCACAGAAGTGATAAATTTAGCACAGAAATCTGACTCGAACAACACTTTTAAGGAACAGGACGAGAACAAAATGAAAACTGATGATATTACAAACAAAGATATTTACCAGAATACAACCACTAATGAGACTTTTCAAAACATGGATTTTGACAAAAAGGAAAATACGAACATAAATGATAAAACTCTTGAAAAAGTTAATGTTGAAGATGGACGAAGAAGCCATGAAAGCACACAAGTTGAAAAAACCGATGAGGATGAACTTAGTAAAGATGACCATGACCGAAGCAAAAATATTCATGTCGAGAGTAACGACTTACAAAATGAATCCGAAATCCAAAATGATAATACAAAAGATATAAAGCCAGACGTTTCTAGTAATAAAGGAAAAGGATTGAAAAAAGATAATAAAAAGGTTAAAAAACCCACTGCAAATCAAGAATTATCTGCTGATAAAGCTACAAAAACCACCGGTAAAGATAATATTGCAAAGTTAAATCACACGAAACGACAAAATAAAAAGAAGGGCGAAAATAATAAAAGTGAAAAAACACGAGAAGTGTCCATTAATCCTGATACAGATACAGATAATGATACATCGGCTATATCAGGAAATGAACCAAATACAGAAAAAGAAGCGAGCACAGAAGTGATAAATTTAGCACAGGAATCTGACTTGAACAACACATTTAAGGAACAGGACGAGAACAAAATGAAAGCTGATGATATTACAAATAAAGATATTTACCAGAATACAACCACTAACGAGACTTTTCAAAACATCGATTTTGACAAAAAGGAAAATACGAATATGAATGATAAAACTCTTGAACAAGTTAATGTTGAAGATGGACAAAGAAGCCATGAAAGCACAGAAGTTGTAAAAACCGATGAGGATGAACTTGGTAAAGATGACCATGACCGAAGCAAAAATATTGATGTCGCCAGTAACGACTTAAATGATAGAGATAACACTGATAAAAAAGAATCTGACAAGGAATCTAACGTGAGAAACAATTCTGCAGGGCAGGACAGCAAAAGAGTGGGAAGTGTTGAAAAAAGAATCGAAAATATTGACCAGAATACAACAATCAATGAGAGTTTTCAAAACACCGATGCTGACAAAAAGGAAATTTCTAATAGGACAACTGAAACTCTTGCAACGGTTATTGCTGAAAATGAACCAAGAAGCCATGAAAGCACACAATTAGACAAAATCGATGAGCATGAGCTTGATAAAAATAATCATAACACAAGCAAAAGTGTTGATGCCGAGTGTAACGAATTGAACGACAGAGATATCATTGATAAAAAAGAATCTGGCAAGGAATCTGACGTCAGTAACACTTCTACAGGGCAGGACAGTAAAAGAGTGGGAAGTGGTAAAATCAGAAACAAAAGTACTGATCAGGGTACAACCATTATTGTGAGTTTGCCAAACATAGATGCTGACAAAAATGAAAATACTAATAGCATCCCTGAAACTCTTGAAACGGTTATTGCTGCAGATAAAGAAATAAATCACGAAAGTACACGAATTGACAAAACCGATGGATATGATCTAAGTAAAGATACACATGGCAGAAGCAAAAATGTTGATGTAGAGTGCAGTGATAGAGATAGCCTTGATAAAAATAAATTTTACAAGACAGATGATCACAAAGAATGTGCTGATGGAAGGGACATACGTTCCGACGTTAGAGAAGACGAGCTATACATTCCTGATGATGTGAAAAGTGAAGAGAAGAATTCTTCAGGAGAAAGTTTTTCACAGGAACGCTCAGACTCTGAAATATTGAAGGAAGTAGCTGACGTTAATCAACCAAGTGAAAAGGAAACAGAATACGAATCAGAAAATATTATCGAAGAAGTACGAATTAAAGATGGAAAGTCAACACTTGTTTTATACAAAGTTAAAGAGAAGTCTTTATTAAACGTGGAGCGAAATGATTCTGGTGATATAGAGTTGAAACATAAAATCGCGAACAATGACAGACATAAAAGTAATATTCAGCCTTTAGATGGAGATATAAATCATAATACAAGCTTTGAAAATGAAGGTAGTGTTAAGCGCAGTGAAATAAAAACAGAAACGTCCAAAGAGGCAAGACATATTGTAGACAAACACAAACAAGATGATGTCGTTACATCTGTTTCAGCTGAATTATCAAGCCAATGTATTAATAGCCACCATGATGTCATTAATTCGGAGAATTCTCTTGAAACCAATGCTAAACCCAATAAGACTGAAATAAGTAAAGGAGATTCTTATATCCAGTCTGTAAATCATAATGGGGGCATTAATATTAATCAAGATACCCAAGAGAATACTTCTATTGAAAAAGAATCATTGTCCAAGAACAATATCAACAACGATCAAATGAACACTGGGATATCAAATGATGATAAAATTCAGGAAAAATCAATAAATGATGATAAAAATGAGGGAGAGGTTCACTTTGATAAAGGAAAAAATGTTAATGATGAAAAAACGGGAAACGATCACCTGGGGAATGAAATAAAACACAATACCCATGATATAAATTCAAAACAGGAATTAACTTCGGATTCATATTCGGATGATAGAAATGCAGTTATTAGCGATCAAGAGAAAACGGATGATATGGCTGTGATAAAGGATGAACCTGCAACAAAAGTGAACTATCAAGAAGACGGCGAAAGTGGATTTTCTGAGGACGAGAAATCCGACGTAGGATACGAGGGTAAAGGTAATGGTAAAAAAGAAACTAAGTTAGAACCTGGGACCGACAATACCGAGCAGCCTGAAAGGAGAAAGTCGAAGAAAGGGATGACGGCAGAGGTGAGTACATTTAATCGATAAACATTTTTATTAAACGGTTTAAAAAGTTTACAAAATTAGTAACTATTGTATACTATGATTATAAACTTCCTGAATAAAGACAATTCATCATATGATTTAGATTTCGTAAAAGCTATCAATAAAAACAATCAGCTATTTTTAAGATGTGTAGACTGTATGTAGTTAAACTTAACAACACTCATGGTTTCCAGGAAAGTTACATATAAATGTTTTAATATTTAGGAATGGGTGAATTTTTTGCGCGAAATAAATCGTAAAAAGGTAAGTCCGTGCACAAAATTTAAATTTTAAATCTTTGCTATCAGGGTATATACATATAACGTCACATCGTTATTGTGTTGTAATAATAATAATGTAATAATGCACCTTGCTTTAAATTGTGCAAAAGCACGTAAAGCTCAGACCCGCAGGGGATCCACCCAGGATGCTTAAGGGGCTGAAGTCCCCCACCAGACGCCCAGGCCTGTTGATTTTTCCTATAAAATAAAGGCTAAAAGAGAAACATATCAGCAAAAACTGGCTCAAGATAAATGTTGGTCACTAAATCTTTATTACTTGTCATAAAACTGCGAAAGCACTGCCTCGAGGCAATCTAGGGGTTATCCATATACTTTCAGAACAGAACATGACTTTTTGGTCAATGTATTGGCAGATTCAAGTGTCTGCATGATACTGAATTAATTGGTCTGGAAAAGAGATCCATGGTAGATCTACTTGTAAATGAAAATAATAGCTCCATTTTGCAACATATGTGGCGTGCATAGCACCGACTTAAAGCCTCAACTAATTGTCACGCACAAAGCATTATCTTCAAGCCACGTATATCTGTTACGCATATTGCACCGTCTAAAAGCCACTTACATTTGTCACGCACATAGGACCGGCTTAAAGCCACAGACATCTGTTACGAACATAGCACCATCTAAAAGGCACATATATCTGTCACGAACATAGCACCGTCTTAAAGGCACATATATCTGTCATGAACATAGCACCGTCTTAAAGCCACAGACATCTGTCATGCACATAGCACCGACTTAAAGCCACAGACATCTGTCACGCACATAGCACCGGCTTAAAGCCACATAAATCTGTCACGAACATAGCACCGTCTTTAAGGCATATATATCTGTCACGCACCTTACACTGTCTAAAAGGCACATATATCTGTCACGCACCTTGCACCGGCTTAAAGCCACAGACATAACATTCATACAAAACGTCCATAAAAATAAGCCTTGTAACCGTCATATAAGCTCAATAGCGAGAAATAGAGGTTTCTTAAATTTGAATCTCCGAAACATAGTTCCTACATAGAATGTCTTCGAAATGAAAATATCCATTAGACCCTATGTTTTTCTTTTCTTATTCAAGAATTGGGAAGAATTGACCCTTTCTACATGAATAAAGTTATTATTGGTTAAAAAAGAAATCCGGAAAACGGGCAAGTTTAAAACTGAACAACTTTACGAACTCTAAAAGATTTGTATACAATCGGCACATTTTCAATAAGATTTTCAAATACTAATAAAAGCTATGGAAGTGTATCATTTCGATAGTCTCATAGAATACTAGTTGAAATTCTTGAAAACAATGTTTAAAAAGTTTTAAGTGATTTACTTTGAATATTTTATTTGAAGGATGCTAATTTTATTTTGTTCTAGAACAATCCATGTTCTGTTTAGATAAGTGATACCGGATCACGCACATGAATCTCACACCTACCAACAACACATACATATAAATATTGCGTGGATTTTTTTGTCATGTATCTTCTATCTTAGGAATTACGTGTCCTAGACTATGGACCAAATCACTTTTGACATTAATGTATTAATAAATTTCTTATTTCCGATTTCGTCTTCGGTGAAACTTTATTACGAAATTTCACATACGTCGATGTGACGTCACGTTGTGCTCTTCGTTTAATATATTAATTATAATTAAATACGAGCTTTAAATTTTTAATGACTTTTACATTTTTTTTTTCATTTTTGAACAGCTTATATTGTGTTTTATATAGATTTACTTTAAAATTCTAATGTTGCTAATGACGTAATTATGTGCTTAATTTGTATTGTAATTTACGATGGAGTAAGACCTTTTGATCTTAAATAAATATTGTATTTTCTACAATACTGAGCAATTATTAATTATTTAATAAGTGTAGTTTATTAAATTAGGAATTATTCAGTATAATGAATAAGTATGTTTAAAGATATCTTATGACCATCAAATTGCAATCAAGATCAATAGATTTCTAAATACTGTTTATGTACTCTCCACTTTAAATTGATATATTCAGATAAATTGATATATTCAGAAAATGATTCATTGTCAGTAGAATAAAGAGAGGCTTCTCTAAAATAGAAAGTTTGTTTATGTAACAACAATAATTGTAAGGTTTTCATAATCCTTTCACAACGAATAGATTTTCCGATATTCCACAACAAACGTCATAAGAGCGAATATTTCACGAATGCCTAAATTAATAATTTCATAAAATACATGATCACATGTTGGACAAGCTAAAAAAATGCAATATATACGCTTTTTAGCCATTTGATTTGCTTTGTAAAAGTCATTGTTTTAAAATTGTGGTGCTTATTTGTCATGCTTTGATCTCGTCTTTGATCATTTTTCCCCCAGTTTTATGCCAGATGAATCAATGAATATATACATGTTGTTCTTGTTTAAAGAATTCCTGAACAATTTTTTGATAGGCAGCTATAAAAAAGACAGAAAAAAACAAAAAAAAAAAAAACGTAAATTTACATGTACGAAGAATTCTATGGCGCATCGCAAATTATAATTTTATTAAAACGTTTTATACACAATGTACGAGCTATAAAGATGTAAGAAAAATAAGCTTAACTTGAAAAACAGTTTATTATAGAAGACCATTTATTATGAAGAATAATCGCAGTTCCAGTTTCACTTTACTTTTCTTCATGATACAAGAAAACACAGTATTAAAACAATATAAAACACATGCTTATTGCTTTAAACTGATACATTTCCATTTATATTTATCTTTTAGACAAGTATCGCTTCCGACAGAATGTTAAGTTCTCAAGCACGTATGATATTACTTATGGAAAAAACCAAGCAGACGAATGAAAATTATGGGAAAGAACACATTAAAACAATAAAGCTTTTTGAGGAAACAAGGGGAGTCTTTTCAGATTTAGAATTTTTGAGAGGTAAAGGGAGAGGTTTGCAGTTTCGTGAGAACTCATCAGAAGAAAACGCTGAAATTACAGAAGACAAGGAAGAACCACAGACAGCACCACAGGATCAAGAACAAGTTGGAGATGTTGATACGGAACAGAACAAAAGCGAAGAACCCAAAACAGAAACTGACGGAAAGGAAAATGAAGAACCTAAAGCAGCGACCAAGGAAACAAATGAAGTAAAGCCAAAGAAGAAGAAAGTCAAACTCGCTGCCGTTGCTCCTCCAAAGCTTAGCGACGAAAGAATACGACAAATACGCGAAATGTATTGGAGCAACGGACAAGGTAATAGCGAAACGTTTGAACTAGATGGTGAAGAGTATTTCCTTGATCCAAATGGTGAATTGGTGAAATCAATAAAGTTCAATGCATCAAAAAAGATAGATACAAGATGGGATCCAAATCATCCTATGTTTAAAAAGCTTCAAAATAAAAATAAAGGGCTTGAAATAAAAGGAATTGTACAATCTGTAAAAGCAGCTAAACCTTTAAAATTAAAAACAAATGATATTTCATCGAGTAATGTTTACGTTACAGAGGCAAAGAGAATATATCCCAAAGGGTTTGAGGAAGATAAAAATGCTAAAACTGAAAATAAAAAAGTTAAAAGATTGAAGAGTTTCAAAACAAAGTCTGTGGACATTGGGAACACTGGACAAGAAGTCAACGATTCATTGACTAGAATAGAAACTAACGATACTGATAATGCAATAAAAAAGAAATTGAATCGAAATGCTAGTGTGCCTAATAAACTTGGGGCTAATGACAAACATTTTTCACAAGAAACAGTTGAGGGAGATGTTAATAAAAGAAAATTGAGGAAAACAAAAAGTGTATCTTCAAAAATTGCTGAATCTAAAAACGAAAGTAATAATGACAATGAAACACCCGAAGTTGGTAAAAAGCTTCGAGTTAAAACATCAAAATACAACAATTTTGTTGATTCAGAGAAAGACAACGTATCAGTTACAACTGCAGAATCGAGCAAAGAAAATAAAACAGAAGTAATAAAAAAGAAAAAGAAATTGAAACACAAATCTAATTCTAGCAAGGAATTTGAAGATGATTATGCCTTTCTTAGAGAACAGAACGAATTTTCTGAAAGTACAGTAAAATTGGACGAAACAGAAATAATCAGAAACTCGAAGGAAACTGTCATTAAAAAACATCCTAAACCAGCACACAAAAAAAGTTTGCCTGATCTGGAATTTCAGACAAAAGACGAGCAATTCAATAAATGTAGTACTCCCTCTGATCAGCAGGATGAGAACAATATAACAAATCCTAATGAAAACGACCAGCAAAGTGATGAAATAACTGCCTCAAGGAAGAAGACGATTAAAAAGAGAATTAAGAAGAAAAGGACAAGTAGCAATAACTTGCATGCATTGAAAATATTTCAGGAAGCTCGGGAAGATTTACCCAGGGATTTGAGCATTATCAAGGACACCAATGAGGACAATTCTCAAAAAGTCCCTAAAGTAAAAAAGGTGCCGGTAGAATACAGTAGCAGCAGCTCGTTGGTGTCCGGAAAGTCAGATATGTCAATGCAAACAGCGGTTGAGATCATGCAGTCCAGAGGCAGATTTTATGGTAATCCTGCTGGTAGAAATGGGGTAAGCTGTTAAGTGTTAAAAATAAATATGTCTTTGTGATAAATAACAGTGCCCTTATCTTGTATAAAGGGCTGAAATTGCAGGCTGCATAATGTAAATTAGGGAATGCATGTAAGCAATGCCACTTCTAGTGTTAGCATTAGCAGTACAAACGATATAGCGTGTTTTCTTTGCATCAAAACATTTACTTTCAGTCTACTACTATCTAGTGCCTCTCCCTGTTTATTCAAATTATGAACTTGAAAATGATATATGTACCTATGTTCAGTCTCAAATTTAGTGAATCAATTAAGACAAAATACAAGCCCTTTTTAATCGGAATATTGATTACTATTTGTAATATTGGCTAAAGCCACATAAAACTTTAGATTCTTTTTTATTTATTTACACATGTCTAAGCCAATAATCTTGCATTGGTCCGGAAACTTGAAAAGGCCTCCATTTAGTGCGATTATTGAATTTTGTTCGATTTGATCAGACGTTTTTACACAAATCAATTCATTTTATTCCAAAATAATGGACCATTTTTGTTTGTTATTCTTCGTAACTTTTCTAAAAATGCTTTAAGTTCTTTGTCTATGCGAATTTTTGTAAAAGAGGAACAGATTCCTCTTCGCCTAGACCAAAACTTCAAGAATATCGCGAAATAAACGGATTAATTTTTAATTTTGATATTTGGGAATAAAATAAATTAATTTATGTTAAAACGGCTAATCAAATCGAATGAAAATCAGTCGACTTACACATCATGATCTTTATTGGAGGCCCTTTAACTTTTCCGTACATTGGTTATTTTGTGCCAGTAATTTCAATATAATTTAATATGAAATGAATTATTCATGCTGGTTCGTGATTTGCGATAGACTGATTTATGCCCTATTGTTTAGACACGTTTACAATTACTAGAATCTAAAATAGCAGACATGCAAATCCTTAGTTTCACTCATTTACGGCTTTACATATCCTGTTAATTAAATTTGCGTTTAATTTGACATTCATTAGTCTGTTGTATTTAGGTCTGCACTTGTTTTTCACTGCATAAACATATAAAGACAGAGAAGTGGCGTATTATATGTTAACCTTAAAATTCATAATTTACAAAGTATAGCCTCGAAGGGGCAATTTCATTCAAATTAAAAACGCTATAGTGTCTGTATCATACATTAAAGTTTAGTTAGTACATCGTTTATAACTACCAATTTAGCAATTAAATAATGGAAATATGAACAACATAGCGAGGAAAAAGTGAATAAGAATGACATCTAGTCTTTGTGAATAAAATGAATTCTATCTATCTATCTATCTATCTATCTATCTATCTATCTATCTATCTATCTATCTATCTATCTATCTATCTATCTATCTATCTATCTATCTATCTATCTATCTATCTATCTATCTATCTATCTATCTATCTATCTATCTATCTATCTATCTATCTATCTATCTATCTATCTATCTATCTTTCATCCATTAAACTCTTTCTTGATAACGTTAATGTTATTATTATTTTTTATTTTATGTGCTAATCACCGAAAGAATAACGATTCTTTTCTTCAAATATTTCTGATATTTTTCATCATTTTCATATTGTAATAGTTTTGTGGATTATCACCTTCTGTTATAGTTTTGCGGACTATCTGTTTCAGGGTAGTGTGAAAAGCAACGAATCTTTAGATTCTATTAGAAGTGATCGATACAAGGGTAAAAAGCACAAAATATAGTACATTTGAGCCGCGTCATGACAAAACCAACATAATGGGTTTGCGACCAGCATGGATCCAGACCAGCCTGCGCATCCGCGCAGTCTGATCAGGATCCATGCTGTTCGCTATCAGTTTCTCTACTTGTTATAGGGTTTGTAAGAGAACAGCATGGATCCTGATCAGACTGCACGGATGCGCAGGTTGGTCTGGATCCATGCTGGTCGCAAACCCATTATGTTGGTTTTGTCACGACGCGGTACATTTATATATCGTATGTCCAGTATATATATGTCATGTCTTTGTACAGAAGTATTGTCATATTCAGTAATGTATTGATAATGAATTCCGTCCTCGGATGGTCTGTTTTCAATACATTTTACTCTGGTGAAATCGTTGAATTTTGACTTTCCCAACATCATACTCTTGTTTCAGGCATTTCGTGGTGGCGCTCGTAAGTATTTGCAACTCATGCACTATTTAACCAAAACTGCACAAAAATTAGCACGGGTAGAAAATGGCATTTCATAAAATTGAAATGAAGAATGTGTTAGTGTAAAATTGTCTATGTCAGAATAAAAATATCGAACTCTTGAGGAAAAAAATGATAGGAAATATTCCTTAGAACTATGCTTTTGATTAATATAAAAAAATCATAACATTTTAAAAGAAATGTGTACACATGTCGGTTTACATTTCAAAATCAACAAAGCATTGCCATTATAAACAAAGTTAAGACAAGCAAATGCAATAATTATTTTTGTTTCTTACAAGATCTATTCAGATAATTATATTTTAATGAAGCTATAAAACTATATAAGAGAATATCTATATACACATACAGTCTTATTATCAACTAGTAAAGCAAATGAGTAAAATGCGTTGGCACATAACAAAGCACATTTTATCAAGCAATGTTTAGCCAAATTAAATAAGAAATCAAAATTCAAAAGAATTATAATAATTTTTTATTACAAATAAAGTGAACTTTTGTTAGATCTTTGGAGGAATTGTGTGGTGTTTTATTTGAATAGCAGACGCTTAACTTTTGTCCTATTTGTAGAGGAAAACATCTGGACTACACAGAATTGACACCAGTTATTTTTAGTAGTAGATAGAATAGAATGTAGACTGCAACTGTAATCGATTCCAATTGGCTGGGAGGAATTAGCACCATTTGAATGTGATATAAGTTAATGAAGATGAATCAAAATAGTAATAGTTATGTGATCACAGATATTCTAGTTAAATATAAAAAGATTCATACATTTTGTCCTTTTCGTGTGTATGGGTAAACAATTGTGACTAAACCGTATATGTTGCAAGTATGGGCACCAATCAATGCTTTTAAAGGTCTAATATATAATATCTAGTTATAATGTATATTAGGATTTTCTTGAAAGAAAGACGACCGAAAAACAACAACCAAACGAACAAATAAACCATTAAGTTTATACATTATTTATTTGTGAATTAATTGTTATGTTGAATAATAGAAAACAAAACTCCAGTATAATCTAAAATATTTGTATTGTAATAAATAAGAAAATAAACTTACATTCATTGTACATAATTCTTTTATGTATATACATATCATATTAGATATTCATTGAAAATAATATAGTTTGTTTTGAATGTGATATGCAAAACAGTCAAGATTTTAAAACAGTCTTTCATACCATCATGTGATATTTATAAACATATATTGCGTCTATTTTAATGTGTAGAGGACATATTTATTGCCAGGTATTACAAACATCTATATACCAATGTCATATGTATCCTGCTTATGCATGTTATATATATTATATATCGTAAGTAATTGTAATTGGCAGCGTATTGTTGATATATCGTAAGTAATTGTAATTGTCAGCGTATTGTTGACTGCATGTCATTGAAAATTGTAATTGTTACATTGTATATCGTAATGGTAGCATTGTAAACTGAAGTGGCTACTTTATAATCTGTAATGGTTAAATTGTAATGGTTATATTGTTAACTGTAGTGGTTGCATTGTTAATTGTAATGGTTACATTGTTAATTGTAATGGTTACATTGTAAATTGTAATGGTTACATTGTAAACTGTAACGGTTACAATGTGAATTGAATGGTGACATTGTAATATGTAATGGTTACATTGTTAATTGTAATGATTACATTGTAAACTGTTATGATGAAATTGTAATTGTTAGGGTATTGTTGCATGTCATTGTAATCTGTAATGATTACATTGTACATTGTAATAAGTAAATTGTAAATTGTAATGGTTACATTGTAAACTGTAATGGTTATATTGTAAATTGTTATGGTTACATTGAAAATTGTAATGGTTACATTGTAAATTGTAATGGTTACATTATAAACTGTAATGGTTACATTGTATACTGTAATGGTTACATTGTAAATTGTAATGGTTACATTGTTAACTATAATGGTTACATTATAAACTGTTATGGTTTCATTGAACACTGTAATGGTTACATTGTAAATTGTAATGGTTTCGTTGTAAACTCTTACAGTCACATTACTTTACTTTAGCAAGGAGATTATTACAAATTTTAAGGTATTTGAACCATAGAAAATGCATATAACGTTCTTTCCATCTGCTATAAAATAGAAATATCTGGTATTGCTTCACCGCCAACTGAAAAGAGAAATATCTTGTATTGGATCACGATTACATATTAGATAATAGTTTTAGATAATTACTATTAGATAATAGTTTTAGATAATTACTTTCACAATAATTTCACTCCTATATCATTTATTTTTAATATAATGAACCGAAATTTGATTTTTTTTATTTCTATGCTTTTGTACGATTGTTTTGATTTTCATGAAAATATACAGCAGTTAGTATGTATGATATGTTCACCTGTGATAATTTTGGCAAGTACATGTTTAATTCAGCATTTATATTCTAGTATTTGTCATGCAAAACCGTTAGTCAAAATGCATTATACTGTTGAAACTGTTTTCGTTTTTTATAAAACTATTTTCGTTTTTAATCACATTTTCGTTTTAAATAATAATTTCAGAGAAACGAACCAAGAGAACACCGAGTATACCGGCTATATAAGGAAATACAAACAATCCGTCGGAATACAGCTCCTCTGACAGAACCTACCTCTTCCATTGCTGATCCTAGTACATCTGTTATAAACGATCCGGACACTGGCTTTTTACTTCTTAACTATGAACGTAAAAACAGATGTTTCTGCAATAAAAACCGAAGAACTCCAAATGCCGATCTTAGAAAGTTTCTTTACGGGAGTCTCGATTACGAAGTGTGTTCTAAAGTGAGAGGTTTAAATCCTACATTCCGACGACGACTGAAGGCATATGACTCTTTGAAAATGAAAATGTATGTTAGATGATCCTTAAAGAGAATGCACTGAGGATGAAAGGACTGGAATTAATATTTGTAGACCAGTTAATGACACCATGGGCTATTAATTTGTGTGCAACACAGTTTTAGATCGTTTACTCCATCCCCCCTTTTTTTAGAGCTGTCATCGATATCGACAATATCGATGTATCGTTGATATTTTTTTGTCGATCAATAATCGATACACATTTTAAAAAATCGATACTTTTGACTTATAAATTGAATGTCTAGAAATTATACAATTCACCCAAAATATATGCAGAAACAATTATTTATATCAAATGTGATGCTTTTGTTATATAGTGGAATTATTTCATAGCAATGGTGACAAAAAATATCGTCTAGAAAAAATCATGCAGTGGACAAGACACTGTACAGAACATGTTTTTGACTGAAATCATTGAAACAGGTATGCAAATGAATGACAGACAAGTGAGTATAGGATATTATCGATATATCGGTGTATCGTTGATTTTAGTTACTTGATATCGATATATCGTTGATATGCTTTGCACTGAATCAATGACAGCTCTACTTTTTTTAAAGAGTTATTATACGTATTAAGTAATGTTACATGCAAATTAATCCAAAATTGGAAATCGTTTAAACGCTTTTACTCAGAACAGGTTATAATTGAACAAATATATTCTGGTTAGTAGCTATACATTTTTATTATCTTCATTTCAAGTGCACCGGTTGATCTTTGTTATAAATTGAAATTTTATATTTTTATGATCATTTCTGTTCAAACATTTTTTTTTTTTATCTCATTGGAACTTCGTCGTTATGTTAAATTATACTATAAATACATTATGATGTCGAATAACGTTTCCTCCAATTTATATTGTTTTGTTAACTTTTCTTTAGACATTAAATTTTGTATTTCAGTCCTATGATAATATCATTTTTGTATTTAATTTACTGAAAATTGCCAGGGGATAATTTAAAAGATTTTTTATCTGGAAAAAGTGTCCTTCGGAAGCATTAAATTCAGCAAAATTATATGAAAATTGCAGACACGGTTTACTTGAGTCTGTACATGAGGGATAATGAAAAAGGCAACATCCCGTAGGCACCCTAGCGCCGGCATTGTGCTGTTGAAGACAGGGACTTAGAAATTGTTAACAAAAAAGAAAGTTCGTCCTGAAGCACATGCCGCATATAATCAAAACAAATACAAAGGCGCAGAAGATGGTTTAAGCAGGTTGTGAATTTTCAAACACGATCTTTTTATACAAAATGAAGATATCTAATTCATTGCTAATGTTATATTGAACCTATTGTTAAACAGCTCAGTCAATGTCATGGCTTCTGTGAAGTATATAACATGGCCGTAACATTGTCTTGGTATACATTAATTTCGATTTCGTTTCGTTTTTCGTAGAACATGTTTCATGTGACATTATATTTCAAGACAATATTCTTCAACGGATTGGTATAGTACGTTAAATGTGTCTCCTTTTTCTATGAAAAAAAAAAATGATTATATAATAATCTTTTTTGACTGAAGTCTGCATTGTTAACATATCATTAAACCACATGACATTATTTCTCTTTATGGAAAGTCGTTGAAATACAAGCGCCTTAAATGATACATGTTATATAAGTTGTCAGTTCTTGTATGATAAAAACAACAGTTAATATTTAAATTAATGAAATTTTCATTATTCATTTTCATTTTTTACAAAGCTATTCCAGCGATAAATGTCTTGATTTTGTAAGAAATGTTTAAATAAATATTGACGTTACGAATTCAGTTTTGAATGATAATTTTATCATTGTAATATTGTATTATATTTATCTTAATATTGGTATTTTAATGTTGAAAAGATTTTTGTTTCAAATCTGTTATATCACTCAAACAAATATCGAGAATATTTCCGTAGAGATTCAATATGTTACTGGTACTGCAGTTTGAAACTTTTTCAAAGAGCACTTTCGGGCCCATTAAGCCTTAAAATGATTTACTTGTATTTCTAAAAAGTTTTTTTTTTATTTTAAAGGTCCTGTTTCGGTTTCCAAAGTTAACTTATTGGCCATTGGAACCATCTCTTTGTTTCTTTTGCATTAGTGGCATTTATTTTAGCTACAGTTATTTATTTGTTATATTATATTGAAGTCAAAATACCACTTTGTTTACAATTTGTTACCTTTATGATAAATTATCTCACATTCAGTCCTACTTTCGTGAAACGATAAGCATCTAACATGCCCTAAATAAATTATTATATCAGCATACAACAAACATTTGCGCTTTCTGAAGAAGAAAAAAGATGTATTCATTTCTGAAGCTCATTGTGCCATTTATAATATATATAATATTCAGCCTGTGAATATATTACAATGAACAAACAAACATACACAGACAAGCATGCCCTATATTGCAAACAGTAAACTGAATGTCTAAGCTGATTGAAGTAGTTACTATTTTTAGCTTAGTCACGTAGAAAGCCAGCAAACATTTTAACAGTATTTCATAAAAGCATTTTTGTCCTAACAGATTATCCTGAGACTACAATCTCATAATAGTTCCAGACCTAAACATTCTTACATATTCAACAATGTGCTATTGAATACAAATCTCCTATTTACTGAAAACAAAGTCTTGTGAGAGTTTGGCTACAGTTGCAATGACAAATTAATTCACTGCGAAAAGAAATATGTTATTTATGCTGAATGAATACTGATTATAATAAAAGATATTTTTTCTCAGTTCACGACAGTATAAACGTGATAACAACAAATAGTATTCATATTAACATCTAGTAATAAAAAGTAAAAAAGATCTAAAATCTTTCACACTGAACTATTAGGAGAAGTTTGAATATATTATTGGATCCAAATCGTACAGTACTAGTTACTGTTTTTGTATACGATAGAATTTTCCTTAGTCGTAAACCATGGCTCTGTCGTAGCACAAGACAATAACATGTCTAGAAAAAGATTCAATTTGCAATTGTTAGGACTCGTTTTTACTTGAAATAATATGATTTTATGGTTATGCAAGACGATGTATCAGTTCCCTGTATGTTTTAAATTAGCTTAAGATAAAGCGCTTGATGAAGTTAGAAAAATAAGTTTCATATTAATTTCTAATTGAGAATATTGTCTCACCTCGATTTTTTCACGAAATTATTGACCGCGATATTAAGTAAATAAGTAAATATTAAAAATATCGACATTATTTCTCTAAGATAAACGTTAAATTACTACTCATGTTACAAGTTTATTGTGAATATTTAACCAATTTGTTTTAAATAATGAAACCATATCAATAGTTATATGAGTATGTATCTTTCATTAACTATTTATGTTCAATTATTCTTAAGCGTTAGCTGTGATACATGAATTGATTTGGTAAAATATGTGTCTGTTTTGTTAATATTAAATGGATCATTGAATTACGTTGTAAAAGGTATTTCTATTTTGGTATTAAAAAGTTTAAAAAATATAAACATGTTTGTTATTTACAGTTCTAGGACATTAGCAACCGCCACAACAAAAACGGATTGCTGTTTTCTTTTCATTTAGACCGGTGATCCAGATATAGCCACTTTTGATAAGCATTCTCCTAATTTTACCCTACTGCTAGAATCGAAGATAACTAGCATTCGTCCCCATTATAAAGCCATACCAGCCTGTACATCCGTGCAGTGTGACGAGGCACTGTACTGTTTATAGCTCAATCTTTGCACTTTTTGAACGGACTGTTCCAAATTCACAGCTGGACAAATCCATTACGCATTTTCGGCAGGCTATGCTATGATCAAATAGATTTCAATGGGAATTATCATGCTTATATGGGTATTGCTTAGAAGAAAAAAACACAAAAATTGTATACGATACATGTACATACACATATACGAACTATTTGATAGATTAAGAACAACGTTTAGTTTTTACATCTGTCTTACTTTCTATTCGGTGTGTCGTATCTGCTATTCTATGCAAGTGTAAAATGCGTTTTAAAATGAGTCCATGCTTAATACTAAATATATAAATTCTTATAACGCATGAAAACGTACTTATTACTTGACCAAAAATATATTAACGCTCTGAATGTAACTTTGTCTTTGTAATTGCGTAATAAAACAGTCTATGAAATTATTTTGTTGCATCATTAAGTATTTGCCTTCATTCATGTGATAAAAAAGAATATACCGAATAACATATATTGTTTTATAATATATGTTATATACTTAAAGTATGACATGATTCATTACAAGGATGTCAAAAGGTGTCCCCTTATTTTCTATATCTGTATCTTCATAAATATATAAATACTCTAGCTTTTGACAGATCGTCATAATATTGTGAATAGTAGTATGTATGTCAACAAAAAAGTGAACGCATCTATTAGTTCTATTGCTTAACTTTGTACAACACAACAAAAGCTTAAAAAGAATTATTCTATATGGCCGTCATTCTGTAAAAGGTTTCGAACAATAAATAAATTAGTAGATAAATGGTAAATGTGCATTGTAACATTTAAAATAAATACAAATGTACATACTTTAAAATTCCAAGTACATGGACTATATTGTCAACATAAATTATAAAATGTGAAAACCATCGAGAACAATTAGTGAAATTTGTTGGCTTATGAATATTTGAATCTTTTTCATGACTTAAAATTCACCACAAGAACCCAGGTACCAACTAAAGAAATACTTAATTTTAACGAAAGTTAATGACCCAGATGGACAAAATATATATTAACACATATATAATGAATTGGATTGTCGATTCAGTAATGCAACAATGAAAACAACAAACAACAAAGAATAACAAAGTGATAACGGAACAAAGAACACATAGCGTTTATTATACAGTCTTATATCAACCGAAACAAACAGAATTAACTCATAGCTGTAACTGAATGTTAAAGAAGGTATAGTCCTTTGGCAATTCTGTACTTGATGTAAATGTTGTACCAAAGAAGAAGGGAATTTGATTTAAAAAATAAAGATAAAAAAGATATACTCTTTGGTGGCTGTAATGTAACAATCCGCTCTGAAGGTCCTTTCACCAATGCGATAATTAAATATTTTTGGAATTATTAATAATTGAGTTTGTTAAGCTGACCATAACAGTG